CCTGCCACAATGCCCGGCTCCTTTTTTGCTGCAGTTCGGCTAGGGCTGGGTTTGAACCCGTCACCCTCCGTATATGGGACCGGTGCCCTACCCACTGAGCCACTGGCACCACCTGCTTCAGTTGATTTTTAAGGTTCGTTTTCTGGAAAACAGGAAACAGCAGTCATGAATACTGGTCCTTTTTCCTTGTTGCATATATTTCATGCCTTTTGCTTTTGCTTTTATGTGTAGTATATTCTGTCTACTGAAGTTTTAAGAATATTTAGCCTGTTGGCCTCTGGCCTTTAGAAAGTATATTTTTCCTGTTTAGTCATGTAAACTTCCTTTATTGAATGATCCAGCTGCTTCTCCTGCTTGCAATGCCATTTTAAATCGGTATAAATACTTAAATATATTAGCCTTGGTCTTTGGATATTTTTTCCTGTCCCATGAATCTGTTTCTACCATGTCTGTTTTATGTTGTTGCTTTATAATATATTTATGTAGCATCTGACCCTCTTACTAGCCTTTTTATTAATGCAGGTGAATTTAAGAATTATTCCCCACTCAACAAATCCCTTTGGAATTCTCTCAAATTCACAAATTCATAAAGAGGAGATAACTTTACAAGATTTAATTTTCCTGTCTAAAAACATGGTATCATTTTTCTACTACTCAAATTTTTTATGTCTCTCAGTAAATTTTGGTAATTTTTAAAATTCTTATGAGACAGGGTCTTGCTCTGTTGCCCAGGCTGAAGTGCAGTGGTCGGTTCACACAGCTCACTGCAGCCTGGAACTCCTGAGCTCAAATGATACTCTCACTTTAGCCTCCTGAATAGTTGGGACTACAGGTGTGTGCCACTACACTCAGCCGTTTTTTTTTTGTTTTTTATTTTTGGTAGAAATGGAATCTTGCTGGTTGTTGAGGCTAATTTCAAACTTCTGGCCTCAAGCAATCCTCCTACTTCAGCCTCTCAACAAAGTGTTGGGATTACAAGCATTAGGCTACTGGGTCTGACCTGTTTAGTTTCTTTTAGTTGCTCTCTTTTCTCTTTGGTATAAAGTTTTTTTTTATTCTTGGGCATTCACTGAGGGTACAAGAAACCAGGTCACACTGATTGCATTTGTTAAGTAAAATCTCTCTTGGTATAAAAGTTTTTATTACTGTGTCTCCAAGTTCATGGGTTTCTTCTTTAAGAAGTAAAT